GTGTGGCTCAAACGAGTATGGACGTACTTAGGCCATGTAGCCAGGTGTCAGGTCGATACTCCTCTGCCTGGGTTGGTGCTCGCAACAAACTCGAGACGACTGGCTCTCGGGGGGCTCCGACCGTCGTGGCTCTCAGAGACCATAGCACATAAGCTACGTCTTCGTTATCAGTCTTTGTGCATGCCTGGAGAGAGTCTATACTGGGAGAGCCAGGCGCGGAATAGAGAAGGGTGGGCCAACATGTTGCCTCGATGGCTAGCATCCTGGAATGCAAGCCTCCCGTGCCCTGACACTACCTCCTTTTTAGGAGAACGTCAGCTTGTACTGGTAGAAGGGGGGGCGGCAGGCCTCCGACCTACTCGACACCCCCCTGAAGCTCCGTACGCTCAAGGGCTTGTCCAGGTGAGATGTCTCAACTTGAAGGTTCGCAGACATGTGCTTCTTTGGCTGGTCTTGGGGGAGCAGGGGTCGGCATGTCTTTTCAGATTTCAGAAGGGGGTGCCTCTGCAACAGTCCCTCATGCTACACTTTGCCGTGCCTCGGGAAGGGGGGCAAGACATGCATGTTCGCTGCTTAGTAATGATGGCCCGAGCCATGCAGTATCTTAGCTCCTGTGGAGGGATGATTCCCTTTGCGGCAATCGTGCCACGCGCTTGCTTAATGAAGAGCATCATTGACGGGCACGTGTCAGGGGGGGAAGGGGGCACTCTTGCAAACTTGGCCTCTGAGGTGCAGCTTTTTGAGCGTGTGTCGGTTCCTCCTAAGAAACTGCCTGCCTCTCTCAAGCCGTTGCTTCAGCGGCAGCCAGCAGTCGTGCCACGACCCTACACGGCGGTGCTCATGACAGCCGAATTCGCCAATGCTCGATACTTTGACAGCATGCCCTCAGCCGCTTTGCTCTTTTCCAGGCCCGAGCTGCTGGGGTGAGCTCTCCCCTAACCCCCCCCCTCCCCTTTGAAGGGAGGGGGGGGGCAGGGCGGGACAACAATGGCACCGAAGCGGCCTCGCCTTGAGGCTGAAGTGATGGCACTCCCCTTGCTGCAACGAACGGCAGAAATCAGGAAGGACGAGGTGCTGCATGTCCTGCAGAACATCCCGAAGGAGGAATGGACACCTAAGGCGGGTGGACATGTGCTCACCTTTGGGGCTTTCTCTCGGGTTGCTACTTCGTTGAGGACGTCGTCGAGAAGATATCCTATGACCACCCGGGTCCTCACGAAGTACATGAGCTCCCTGCGTAGCGACCTGCCCTTTACCACGATCACGGTGCACTGGAATGTTCGTCATGTGCCACATGTTGACAGTCGCAACTCTGTCATCCCGTCTTTCGTGGTGGCGCTCACATCAGGGTATACAGGTGGGGACCTTTGGCTCGCTGATCCTGATGGCGACGTGGCCATTCCCCATCGAGGTCGAATGACTCCGGGGCGCTGCTTTGACATTAGAGTTTCGGTGGCTTTTTCGGCAAATGCTGTGCTTCATACAGTCATGCCATGGCAAGGGGAAAGGGTCTCTGTAGTTGCTTACTGTGTGTCCTCTCCCTGTTCTAGGGTGGCTGGTTCGTTGTTTTCGGTTTTGATGGGTTTGGGGTTCCGACTCCCATTGCATGACGTTGAAGAACGTTTTAGATATGAGAAGTGGGGGGCCCGAGTGTACAGACAGCTGCGCTTGGTGGATGAGAGAGCCCGATGGCCCGAAGGGCTACTAAGAAGACAACAAGGGGGGGCCATTGACCTCTGCTCTGATGGCTCCGGACGCGAACTGGATGATACTGTTCTCCTTGTGTCTAGTTCCGATAGTGACACTCTTTCGTTGTGCTATGGCTCTGCAGCGCCGGAGCCGGATCTCTGGGACTTTGAGTTTGCAGATGAAGAAGAGGCGATGGCGTGTACTAGTGACTCCCAACTTTTGTCCGTGTGTTGATCTAGCGCAGCTTTGTTCCTTCGTGCTGATACATGTAGGCAAGCTACGTGTGTACAGACAGCAGCGCAGGACCCTCCCTCCTTTTCAATCGTAGGTGCATGGAATTCTTGTTGCATGAATTTTGCGGGAATTAGTCTTAGAGGCATGGTTTTCCAGTTTTGCGCTTTTGTCGCTTTGATGCATGGGTCCGCGAATGCATGCATGTTTTCCGTAACTGCTCCTTGTGCTTGAGGAATTCACCCGCTGCCAGGGACATGTCTGCAGGTCAACACGTGGAATTTAGCGAGTGTCGTCTCTTTGCTGAGCTGCGAGCATAAAACTGCAGCTGTAAGGGGGACACTCTTGTAAAGCTCTGTGCAATCTTCTGCAGCCGTTTTCCGTGCGCCGCCCTCAGCTCCCTCGCTCTTTAGCTCTCCATACGAGGCACCCTCATGGCGCCCGCGATGGCCATGGATGTTGGCTCGATCACCAAGGTGGCCGCCTGGGCAGGGCGCCGCATCGGTGGCGCGGCAGAAAGCATCCTAGGCATGGTGGTCCCGCTGATGGCCCTGATCGGGTGCATTTTGGCGGGTTACTTGGTCCTTGGGCGCTGGCTCTCGTCGAGTATGCCTTGGATGGTGAAGGCTGTGAAGGCCTTCAGGTCTCCGCGGCCCCGCGACCTGAATGCTCCCGCCATTTCTGTGGATGACCTCTACGACAAGACGTGTGAGGTGGACTTCCAAGTGAAAGAACTTGGCACGAAGATGCGCGAGGTCGTCCTTGCCGATGCTCTGGATGGTGCGGTGAGCACCATCATGCGCAGGCTGGAAGTGCTGGAGAATTCGGTGCAAGGAACGCATGACCGAATTCAGACGCTTGTGGACGTGGTCAAGAACTTGCACGCCCGACTGCGGGAATTCTGAAAGGCCAGGCCACTCTGGCCCAGGAGAATGCCAAGAGCATGAAGGACACTGGCAAGAAGGAGAGCGAGGAGGTCCTGGCGTCGATCCAGGACAAGTTTGACAAGGTCCTCAAGGAGGTCCAGTTGAGCTTGGTGGAGACGCAGAAGATCACCACCCAGAGCACGCAGCCCATCAAGCGGTCCCAGGAGTCTTTCGCCACGGCCCTCAATGAGAAAGCAACGGAGATCCTCAAGGAGCTCAGCAATGTGTTCCACCGGGTCAAGAAGGAAAGCGGGGACCTGATGGCTATGGTGCGCTGGACGGGGTCGAAAGTTGAGCAGGTGGAGACCCTGTGTGCCCACCAGCCCGAGAGACTCCAGATCTTGCGGGACACCCTACTGGAGGTTCAGACGACGGTGGTACGCATCCAGACGGAGATGGAGGCGGCTCAGGAGGGAGACGGGGCGGCATCGCCGCCTCAGAGGCAGGAGTGGGCGCAACCTCAACCACAGCCCGCCTCTTCGACAGCCCCTCCGACGACCCCGGCTACGCCGCACACCATCAACCTTGATGAGACGGTGCCTGTACAGTTGATGCGGCCAAGCTCGTCGCCGCTTACGTCTCTAGCCCTGGCTGATGGCAGGGTGATTTATGTGCCTCGCCAAGTGGTCTCGAGCCTTTTCGGGGCACAGTTCTAGTGAGAAGTTTTGAGGCTGGGCACGCAGGATAGCTGCATGGATGTGCAGCGGTTAGCTTTTAGCCTTTATTTTGCTGTAGCGGAGCCATTGCTTGCTTGAGTACGCAGCTGTCACTTTTTCATGCCCGTGAGCCTCCCCTCGATAAGCCCTTCTGAATAGAGCCCGGTAGCCACGTGTTTGCCTGCATGACTGAATTTAATGCATGAATGCATGTTTGCATGAACGTGTTGCATGTTGTATATCCTGTGCATATTGAATTCATGAGAGGTGTGGCGAATGCTTGAATTCTTTTGTCGCCTTGGCGCGTGGTTAGGACTCGGAGTGCTGCCTCAAGGGATGTGTGTAAAAGTCGTGTCGTCGACAGTTTGTATGCCGTGATTGTGAGATGATCACTGTCAAGGGCTCTTCACTGCGCCTGCTCGGGGTCATGGGTTAACAAGGGTTCAAGTTTCTCCCTCGTCTATGATAGACGGATAGGTATGTTCGACAGGTCTGTTTCCTGGCTCCGCCAGTGCGCTGAGGCCTTTAACGAAACCGAACCTTTAGTGCCTTTCTGGGCGCCGCTGTCCCTACAACCTGGGTGGAACAATCGTTTCGTGCAGCTCCTTGTCTGTCGTCTTAGTTCAGGGGTCTTCTGTGTCCTTGTTGGCTTTCCCTATGCTTCTATCTCTCTGTGCCTACCCCCCCTAGAAACCACTACCCCGCGCTTGCAAAGCCATGACCTTTGCTCTGCTGCTGCCCCCGGCGCCCTTTTACAAGGGCCTGGCAGTACAGGAAATGCGAGTCTTTTTGGAGAGCCTGGAGAGACTGGATGATAAATGTGCTGCTTATGTGGCACAGGCCCTGCTGGAGTTCGTACGAAACCTGCGACAGTCGTGCCCGACGACTGCTGACAGCTACATGGTTCAGTGCTACTGGCGTCAACTGGAAAGGACATGTGGGCTCTTTTTGGTGGCAAGAACGGGCTGCCTGACACCAGTTTTGGGGACCAGGTGGCTTGACAGAAGCATACACAGGTTACAGACTGCCCTGCGCATTCGAACATGGTTTATCTGGGTCGATGATAGGCTTTCCCCCCACACTCAGTGCGTGTGAGGCTGGTCTTCTATGCACGCGTGAACATATCTACTGCTGAGAAGACGACGCACTAGAGGGCCAAACCTCCTGCTTTGGGCGCGCCTGCATGTCCGACTGACCATACGGGGAAAGTTTTAGACTATAGACCCTGGTTACTCTTTCTCTGTATGGGTGCATGTCGGGGCTATGGATGCCTCCCTGGCACTATGTGGGAGCCGATGGCAACAAATTAGAGCGAGTTGCCGCGAAGGGGTCACGTGGATCTAGGGGTCCTGGCCTATTCTCTGCATGACTGCATGTTGAATTTGTTTGATGAATCTACATTGCTGCACGTTGTGCCAATGGCGTGGTACGTGGCTATGTGGTGTGCTAACTGCATGATGCATGACTGATTTGCAGACACGTCAATGGGTCGGGCAGTTCACTGCATGATGCATGACTGATTTGCAGATATGGCAATGGTGAGGCAGTATGCGTCAGAGGATCGGTCTATGTCCTGTGATAGGCAATATGCCCAGTGCCGTGTCCAGTG